CGTGGATACATGTGAGCAGGAGAATCTCTTTCTCCCCCCCCCCTCTCTCTCTCTCTCTCTCTCTCTCTCTCTCTGTTGGTTAACATACGACCCCCCATTTCGTAGATCAATTCTCAATCCTAAAGCATCACAATTAGGGTATGGAGGTTTGATTCTCAACCAATAAGCTCGTTCCCTAACGATTCTCTCTTTTACTTAACATAGGTGGAAAGGGACAACCGTCGGCGCGCTTTTTGGTATCAATTAGGCAGCAGGCTTGGTAACTAGTGATATGATATGGACAAGCAAATCGAAAGACGACGACAATCTATACCGGACGACCGCCCAATGAACCTCCGATTGCTCGGGAACAAATTGTCGGGATCGACCGAGGAAACTTCGAGCTTCATGGTGAGGGAAAGACGAACTCAACCCCATCCGCCCGTTAGTGGCAGCACTTTGGATATTTTGGAAGGAAGACGAACTTCAGCTATCAACAGCCTTCTTCGTTCCCGAAGTCTTTGTACCACTAAACCGCAGCTGTCGTGGCTTTTGCCCCTGCTAGGCTCCTCGCGAGTTCTATCTTATCCTGCAGTTTGTCCAGATAAGTCACATTTCGTTCAACGCGAAGATCTCTAGCAGACAAGAACAAGAAGAACCTTTTGAGTTCCCGCTGTAGGTAGGTGTTGTGCTCAAGTATCTTTGTCGATGGGGGGGTTTCCAGTATCCACTCGAAAGTAGAACTCTACGTCTCCTCCATTCTTCGCATGGTTGTGGGGAAAGCAGTCGAAAACGAACAATCGAGAGGTCCCGGTCCCATTGAACCCCATCCCCCGCGTCGTAGAGTGCTACCAGACCAGATGGTGTAAGTACGAAAGCCTAGGAGGGCCCAACGACAACAAATTGGGTTTACCCATCCAATCCGATCCAACCCAACAAGCAATCAATGAGGATTTGTTGTCGTCGAGTCGGACACCGACAGTGTGACAATGTTCTACGAGACCCCATAGAATGGTAACTGGAACCTGTCCGGCTGGTCCTTGCCGTCCCCCAACCCCGTATAATGGGTATTCGTGCACTGGGATCCGCCATGAAAAGAACTTGTTTATGTCCTCCCTCCATTCTGACGCGGGCTTTTTTCGATGGTCCGTCCTCTCCCTGCTCTTGTGTGTCAAGATTAATGAGGAGCCAGTAGTCGACGTGTGAACTCAGAACAAGTCGTCCGTCCTGCGCGTCCTCCTTTCCTTCCTGTCGTTGTCAAGAACATGGACCTCCCCACACACAGAGCTGATTGGTGGTTTAAAAAAGCAGGGCTTTAGTGCGAAGTGCGATATAAAAGTCTCGAATTCTCCGTGCCATCAATTTGATGCTCGTAGTCTGTAGAGGGCCTGTTTGACCCTCAAAGTATACATACGCGTTCACTGGGTATCTCTCCTCTTTGAGAAGCAAGATGACAACGAACTGAACAGGAAAGCTTTTGGTGTCCGGAACGGCGGTCATCAGTGCTAGTGAGCTGCCACCAGGAGTTATGTACCAGTAGCATAGACTTACCCTCGAGGATCGTATCCTCGCCTTCAACTCCATATCCGCACCCGCATCCACATCTGTCCTAGTATTCGAAGTTCAAGACGAACCGTTTATTTCTAGCCAGGGGGCCAGGCAAAGGTAAAGTGAACTCTATATGTGCCCATCTTCATTCGGATCCTGACTCTCATATTGCATCGTGTTGCCCGACAACGTGTATGATCCATTTTCCTTGGGCTCTGTCGCACTGCGTTGAAGGGAGCAGAGGGGTTGAGCACGGAGGTGATCAGACCGTGGACGTGTCTGCCATGACGACGGAAGTGACTAAAAGACAAAGTAAGGTAGGACATAGTTATGGTCTTCCCCCCGCAATTCGACGCGTCCCAACAGAGATAGTTTGGACGCTATACATGTACATGATCCCGACATCCCTGCAACTCCACCATTCCAGATTACTGGCTGTAGTTTGGCGTGAGTTCCGATTCCTATCATTTCCCGTTCCGTATGGTTTTACAATTCAGATTGGAGTCAGATTATATGGATGTAGAGATGGATGGATAGCGCACTAGTGACTAGGCTCCTTCCCGAGTCACCATCACCATTCAATTCCCATTCAACTCCATCGATGAAAACTACACGAAGGACAATTCCAGCGCTCAAAACAACTGTATGTAGACGCGTTTTTTATTTCTCGTTCCGCGCCTTTACCTATACCAGACCCGATTTGGACAGGCGGGCCCGACGCTCACACGGTACAGGACTCGAATTTTGAGGATCTCTTGCTTGGGTACCGCATCTTTCCCAATGGTATGAAGAAGAGAGCCCCGCTGGGCCCTGGCTCCTTCCAAACCAGGGTGCTTTGAAGGCGCGGAACGAGGAATAAATCAAAACGCGTCTACAAGAAAAAACTCCCACAAAACAAAGTGCCCGCCGTGGGGTCGAAAGACGTTGAAGTATGCCGGACGACTGCCTGCCCAATGAACCCCTTCATGACGTCCGATCGCTCGGAAACAAAATTGTCGGAATCAACCAAGGGAACTTCATGATGAGGCAACAACAAACTCAGTGGCAGCACCGATAGTTGACCCTTTGGATTTGTTTTGGGAGGATGATGAACTTCAGCTATCAACGGCCTTTTCGTTCCCGATTTCCTTGTACCACGAACCCCCGCTGCCGTTGTCGAGGCTTTGCCCCTGCTCTGTCCTGCAGTTTGTCCAGATAGGTCACGTTCGTCAACACGAAGTCTCTAGCAGACAAGAAGAGCTTTTTGAGTTCCTCATGGATCCCGCTATAGGTGTCGTGCTCGAGTATTTTGTCGATAGGGCCCTCAACTTGATAGTAGAAATCCCTCAACGCTCTCAACATCTCCTCCATCTTCACAGCCAAAGGATTGTAATGGGAAGGCAGTCAAGGGTGATGTCTCCTGAACTGCATAGGGGAGAGGAAGACGGTGAGACGTTCTTCAATCCGACAAGCAAAGTCGGGAATGGTTCTTAATCCCCCGTTTGTACTCTACCGGTATTATGGTTTGAGCCATCTCGGCAGGCATATTCGAGATGATGAGGAACGAGGAGCTCAAGGGAACGTGCTCACCGTTTTACGACCATAGGAAAAGTCTGGTGAATTTGTTCTGAAAGGCCGCGCGTATTCCAGGTCGGCAATCTTGCAGACGTAGGTTCCTTCTCCGACACCGCCGTGCGGACGATAGCAACGAAGGAGATTCCCAACCAAGAGGTCCCGATGAACCCATCCTGCGTCGTAGAGTATTTTGAGTGCTATCAGATGGAGTGAGTACGAAAGTAGGGCCAACAACAAATTGAGTTACTATCCAATGCCCCAACAAGGGTTCAATGACAACTTGCTGATCATTGATGTCGATCAGTGATGTCGATCAGTCTAACACCGACCTCTTTGAAGACAGTCCGACAATGTTTGGGGGGCTCATAGATGGCACTGGACCCGTCCGGTGGGTCATAGTCGTCCTTGCTGTTCTGCCTATAACCCAGTGCTCAATGTCCTGAAACACACGTAAGTGGCAATAACAGCAAACAAGGGGTGGACATACCCTTTCGACTTCCTTCGGACCGGTATCGCTCTCCTTGAACCCCACATTGACATGCTATCCCAAGCCTCAATTCCGGTAAGTTGAGGATCGTATCCCACCCCTAGCTCCATGTCCACGTCCGTCCTGTATTCGCCGTTCTACACATCCGATATCGCCTGTCCGGTAAGTCGAGCCGTGGGTCTCTTTCCAGGCAAGGCAATCAGGGATGCCTTGAGGACACAGTTGAATAAGTCTCGTGTGCTTGTAAACGCTATCTTCATTCAGGTCCATCTCTATTGGATCCTGGCTCTCATACCATCCCAGCGCCCGTGGTGCCCGACAACGCGTACGGTATCTTCCCAGTCGTCCGCATCTGCAAGACACGAAGGTCTTCTATCCTTCACCTTCCCTATCGATTCCTGCAACTGCTCTTGCGTCTCGACCCTTATGTCTTGCGAAACTTCAGGGACAGGACCGTGGTCCAAGAAAGCCTTCACCTCAACCTCTAGAATCGTAAGGCCCGTCGTTCATATTCCTATGTCTCGAAGCTGCTGTAGATCAATGTCATGGTTTCCGGGACTTGAAGATTCTACTCTTCTTGGTCTCTTTACACTGTTGAGTTGATTTCAAGTCAATTCAAGTAGTTTCGGTCTCGGGAGGGAATGAGGGTTGAGTAGGGAGACCGTCGAGGTGAATAAGACGTGTCTGCCACAATAATTGAAGTGAGGAAAAGACAAAGGTAGGACGTAGTCATCCCTCACAATGGGAGTTGAAATCTATACGCACCTTGAGTTTTTGAAAGGTTTTTGGTTGAGACCACTTCTGTCCCAACGGGGGTCATGCATGTGATCCCGACTGCCACCGGAAAAAGCCCGGCAGTTAGTATAGCGGACTTGCGCTAAACCTCAATCTCCTCGATTTCACGGCTCCATAGACTTCAGAAGACTCGAACTGGTGCGACCTAGAGGAACTTATGCAGAAGCAGGAGTCACATTCCTAGAGTTTCTTCTAAAAGTCGTCCCTTCGCTGACTCGAAAGCCGCACAGAATCACAACCGAACTGCACCCGAATTCAACGTCGTGTCAATAGATGATTAGATCTCCTGGTTTGGAGTGATGTGGTCGCGGATTCCTACCATTTTCCGTTCTGCCCGTATGTTCTCGAAAGGGATACAATAGATTGGAGCCATGTTTGCTTGGCGAGTCACTAGTGCGCCTCCATCCACCTCCACACAGCTTCAGTTCTCATGATATCGAAGACTCCTACAGCTCCAAATCAATCACGACTCCACCTTCAGTGACCAGGCTCCTTCCCACTGTCTTTGTCACCAGACTATCGATCTGCTTCGTCTCAAGTGGGAGTGTGCTAATGAGTTCTTGAGATGGTTGCGGGGAGTCAGTAAACGAGGCATTGTTCTCAAGTCTATCGACCGGTGCTCGAGGCAATAAAAACAAGTGCCCGCCGTGGGTCGAACACGGGGCTTCAAGATATTGCGCACGCCATCCGAAGCATTGCAATCTCACACTCTACCACTGAGTTACGGGCACCTTGAACACCGATTGAGTGTGTTCCTCGACATTCCACCAAACCCTCTCTGTAACTGGCTTCTGTTCGATTCCCTGGTTGACCTAATTCATCTCAGCTCGCTACCGCCGCATTGAAACTGAGGAACTATCCTCATGGCAAATCACTTCTCAATAGCACTCGGCACAACTCGCAGACCTCAATACCTTGTAGTAATAAGGGACCACAGCAAACCTTTGCTTCCTTGTGAACCTTTTTCATGGCAGTCAGCGAGGAGCGAGGCACCGTTCTTGTCCACCTTCCATGCAAGGGCCATCGAGGGCTCGCCCGAAATCTGGACGTACTTAGGTTGGTTACCTCCCGATATCACTCAGGATATGAACGAGCAAGTATTCGAACGCCGTTCCGTCTCAGGTGAATCGACGTACGCAATACAGAAAGCCAGGAAGACTCTCGACCTCTCCATTCATCACCCTAAAGTCCTCTTACGTGTCTTCAGATTGCCAATGAACTGCCGGCTTCCTTCCATTGCGATATGATATGGGCTGGTGATGGACCTCTCTGCTCCCGAACTTTCCAGACTTCGAAGTTGGCATCATTCACCATCATCGGAAGTCTCATTGGCACCAGACTCGTCTCTAGACCTCATCAACCCACGTCGTCTATTCCTGCGTCATGAGAAGACCGATGTTGAATCGCATCTTGATTCGAGGACTCGGAGTTTGGGTGCGTATTTGCGTTTGAGACATATATTCAACAGAGTACTTGAATTGATGAAGCCTAGAAGGCGTCTTTCTACAACACGTATTGGGCAGGTTCTGGCCGCACAGTCCCAGAACACTCAAGTCAGCCATCACGGGGTGGCATTGGGGCCGATTGAGGTCGAATCATATCCTACCAGACACCCCAGATTCTCTATATCCATTCCTTTGGCCCTTTCAGAGAAGACTCGACCGTTAACACCCCCGAGCTATTGAAACGGACATATGTCAAGGATAAAGCAAGGCAGGAAAAACGCCGAGTAGATGCCGCATTCGTTCATGCACGATCACTTGACCCCCCCAGCTGCGAATAGCCAACGGATAACCAACTTGGCCTCTGGCAAGACGGCGCTATCCCAGGTACGCGTGGGATATTCCGTCTACCACGCGCCGCTCGATATACTTTCCGGGTTTCTCGAACGTTGCTCGATGCACATACTAGGCTTGGTGAAAATCGAGTTGCGAGGCCCTGGTCCAACCTTGCGTCGTGGCGCTAGCCGCGTTTCAGCGATTACAAGAATATGCTACTATCGAATGCCTGCCGATACCAACTTCAGACACGTCTATCAGGCTCGGGCGGAAGTGGGAACAATGTAAGGTGAGCCATCAGTATTCAATCCTATCTGTGCTTGTCTGCATTCTGATGAATCTCCCGAACCTTCACCGGCAGTGCAAGTCGGTTGAGTCTTGGGGTCTTGAGATATAACCTCAAGGCAAATCAACCGAGGTATATGTTCCTTGAATTCGATTATTGAACGCCACAGTGTGTCGTGCTCTGTCATCATACTATTCTATGGTTGAACAAAACGCCTATACGATCACAAGTAGACTCTCCCATGCTGACGCGCTCTAGCATTATTAACGGCGATTAATTGCTCGATCGCGCTTTTGTATGAACTAGTCGGGATATTCCGTGCTTTAGCTCTGGATCTATCGATGGTTTCCGCTCCAAACACTTCGAACCCGACTAAACCCCTGACAACCCTGCAGAACACACCCATGATCCATCTATACGTGTCTGTATACCATACCTGGGCCCGGGAACCCCTCAACATCGAACGCAGCTAGACCAAGAACAGGAAGTTGAAATTTGTGGGAAGCCAATATATAGACTTACCCTCGGTAAGTAATCAAAGTTGAGTATTCTGTACGTTTTCCTTCGACCCTTGTTTACACGCTGCATAAAAGTATTAAGATTCGTTATGCCCTCCCTTTCTTCCCTTGTACACCCTCACGGTACCGCTCGTACGAGCGAGATCCAACTTCCATCGAATACAAGCTCATTATTGATCAAGTCGCTCCCTTCAGGACGTCTTTATTCGCTTTCAAACATCATTCACAGCATCAATGAACAATGACTCGACCTTCTCTACGCTGGACCGTGTTCCTCGGGGTCGGAGGCTAACTCAGGAAGGAAGGTCTGTTGAAGAAGGGGAGAGAGGTTCCGATAGACCTGGACGAATACCAGAAAGGGCGCAGAATGGGAGAACCAGAGTCAGGTAAGCATCCATTTCTCTACGTATCATTGATCCTTCTTAGGAATAGGTCCCGCTGAGCGTTTGCGCCCCGTATCTTTCTTATCGGTGAGTGTACATGTCTCTTTCCTGTCGATTTGACCGTCAGTTTGGAAACTTACGTCCGCCTTCCATAGTCTGTCTTCGATATCTCAGACCCCAGAATCGTCCTTACATTATGGATCGGTTCAGGCTCGAAAACCGCCGCAACCACAGAGATTATTATCTCCTTATCGACATCATACTCAACATCGCCGCTCAATTACTTACCGTTTTGCCTTCCAACATGATGGTGGACGTACGCAGTAGTGTATAGGTACGAGGTAAGCCTATCATAACATACATCGCGCCCGTGAACTCTATCATTGTCAGAGATTTCAGGCACGTAAAAACCCTTATTTCACGTCTCTCGCTGCCCTCCCTCAATCCAGCAATACAGTTAGTCTTACACTCAGTGCTAAAATACCAAGGGAATTCCGCGATTCGAAGGGCTTGGTCGTTTCGCATCTCGGCTGCTTTCTAAGAACCTGACTGTATAGCGACTACCACCTTGAAGTACATCTCGAGATCTCGTGTTGTCCGCCTATTCACTCCTGCCTTGACTCTAGGTCTCGGTCATTGGGGAGGAGCCTGAGTCTGCCTGTCGCCTGGGGGGATTCCGAATCTGGGACCTTTTGTGTACGGTAACCAGGAGGCTTCTGCCCGTCCTCCGTCGACGACCAGAGGTCGCCTGTTCATCTTGGCTGCAAGTACCTACCACTATCCATGTCAACAACCCGCACTCAGTCTCGATCATTCACTCCGATCACCGCGCCCCAAACACGACTCTCTAGCGCCAAATTCCCCTATATTCTCGCTGTTCGCTGTCAGCTCGTCGTAGCTCCGAAACTTCCTCAACCTTCACAAACGCTGAGCGGCGCAGCACTTTACTTGACTGAACTTGACTGATCATTATTACAGCCCGCGCCGTTGATCGAACATGAAGCTGTTAGCTGTTGGCTATTGGCTGTTCTGCCTGAGTGCCAAGAAGTCCTGAGATCCGATGGAGCTCGACTGTTCGAACTTCGGTGACGCGTAAATACCTCGCTATCCGCTCGGCGCTGCGGGGTCATTTGCAATAGCAAAACATGTCAGGACAGTCAGCGGAAGCAAACACGGACTTGCGTTCGTTATTTGTTTGCGGCCCTCCTCCGATCACTCTTTGGTAGGAGTCTGGGGGTCTGGGGAGTTCGATATGAAATGATTCAGTTGCTGTTGAACGAAAAACGGAACCCATCACACGCCTGTGCATGAAGAGTCGGAACTCAATACTTCAGAGGGCGTTGAGTCTTGAATAGCATTAGAAGTATAACCGAGTCAGGGTGAGATTCAATTTTTGAGTATTGAGGTGATTACGCCTTTCGAGAATTGTCAAATGGTCAGGGTTGGAGTGAGATACGGATTTGTCGTGACGCTAATGACGCGTGCCGCGTGGTGGCAATTTGAAGGGTTGGATGACCAGGAGCGCTTGGCGCCCTTAGTAAATTGCTTTGACCCTTCAGCTTGGACTTTTCGGCCGTGGATTCTTCAAAGTCTTACGAGCCCCATAACAGGATCTAGGGAGGCGATGGTTGTTATGTTCACCGTTGTATGTACTGGCCCAGCAGACAGCTGGTCTCGACTTTTACGATCAGACGTCCAGATCTTTAGAGCCGATCCAGTGACCGCCGGCACCCAAGTCACCCCAGTCCCAGGCTACAGCTTGGACAGGACGTGACCTCTGCAGACTCAGGCCTTGACGCGCCACACTGTAGTACTTCGCTAAAAATAGTTCGACTAGAGGAAAGCTTGGGAAATGCACGGTCGACGCGTTTTTGTTCACGCGTCCAGACCCCACACGCCACGTCGCTATTCGAAATATCTAGGAGATCATAGGAGCAAGGTCGGTAGCTTGCTAAAATTAGTTGGACAATGGCTGGAAGATGGGTCAACGGCCCGCATGAACAGTGGCGAGGATTCAAAAATACAGTACAGATGTACGGCGGTGTTACAAGTTTCAAGAATATGTCACTTGTCTTCCTGCTTCGATCCCACTTATCGTTAATCAAAATCTTTTGGATGTGCTTGTTTTCCATCAGAACTTCGACAAGGGCGAGATATAGACGATGAGATTGCGAGTATTTATGTCCCAGGCTCCGTCATAAAGCGAGAAAAAGAAAGTCAGCACATGGCAAACGGGTGTGTTTCGTGTCCCCACAACCTGCCGGAGGCTGTCAAACCCCTTCAGAACCATTCAAGTTCTTATTAACATTGTTCGAACCTCGCGGGAAGCACGACCTTTCTGAGAATCTCAAAGTGCCTGCCGTAGGCACGACATCGATGGATAAGTCTGAATGTGCGGTCTGTGCACTATTAATGATCATGCAAACTGCATTGCCAGCCCAATGTCATCCTCCCCGATTCTTGAGTCCCTGGCACACGACCGAAGTTCTTCGCCTCGAGGACGAAGAGATGGCACAAGACCTCTCGTCGGACTCCGAAGAATCCGCAGAGGCAGAACTTGTCATTTGGAGTCGGCAGTTGTAGGTGAAGCCAGGCGAGTTCTGTTATTTTTGTTTCGGGACTACTTATTCGTGGAATGTTCCTACCAATCATTCTGCACGTTCGAGAAGGGCACTCATTTGCATGGTGTCCCTCCTCTGAGTTCCTGATCAACGGCTTTCCCATCGTTCAACGTTCATCCTTTCGGGGACGCAACAAACAAGCCAC